CTTGTAAAATTTAATAAAACGTTTCGCTAGTAAAATTCAGTTTATCATCAAAGTGGAAAAAGTCACGCGCGAAGATGTTCGAAATTGAAGACTGTTAAATTTTGTCTGAATTCAAACAATTCATTATCACGGAAATCATGGAAACACTAAATTTTTTCAATCATTTTAAAGTAGTTTGCCATTCATTTAGTCATTTTTACCTATTTAAAATAGGTTGTTACGAACAATATGTAAAAAAATTTTTTCATATCTAAATGTTATATATTTAATGTATTTATTTTAAAAAATTTCATATCTAAATTTTTATACAGAAGTGGACTTTCGTAATGATCGTGATATAAGTCAATTTTCCTTCGAAATAAACGAAACAACAAGTTCAACTTTTGTTGACTGATTATGAAATACGATATTCCAAGTATTTCGTAATACTGACAGAATTTTCACCGCGAATTACGTGTCAGCGATGGAAAAAAAGTAGAGCAAAGGGTCAGCGTAAACGCGTTTTCTCCGGTATTTTCCATCTCGTTAAATGATCGGCTATTTATATTTAATCATTCGTCTGGCCGTCTCACAGGATACATGCTTCTCGAGCAATTTAACAGGCCTACAAGGTGTGTAATTGATAGATTTCGCCTGCGCTGTTGAGACGTGCCAGTTTTTGGATCGAATCTCCGTTAACACCGGCAATCACATTCGTCTACGTTTCTTCCTGGTTATTCAAATCACGCGATCGTGCCAGTTGAACAATTGTCAAAACTTTACTTGCCGTTGTACGCATATTTAATTTGAATAGAATCCTTATTGCACGTGAGAAACAATGTGCATACAAAATATATATATATAAACGAACTGTATGTCGTGATTTAGAAATTTACTTACGTAACAACGCGAGGGTAAAACATTTTAGGATTAATTTTCGCAAACCCTTCGCCAATGATCGCGGTTAAATAATATAATAGCTTCTTTATCGAGGAAGCGGAGGATTCTATTGTTAGTTGAAACATTGTCTCGCTCGAACGATCGTGATGTCGAAACTTACGTGAGGCAGAACTCGCGAGTTCGTCCATCCATCGTCAAAGAAATTCGAAGAACCGAAAGAATTACCGCGTTCGAGTTTCCCGTTCGACATCGTTGACTTCGTTTTCGATTCGGCGGTCAAGCGGCACGTACTAATTGTCATTGGCGATGCGTAAAACGGTCAGACTCGAGTCGATTCTACAGAAACCTTGACACAGCCTCATCGTCTAGACTCGAATAGACGTTTGCGTATCTTTTATAGATACGAGTATTAAACGATCTATGAGCAAAGTACCCGAATTTTTGATCAATACTGTATACATCTATATCGGTGTAGTCTGTTTCCTCGCTTTGAGGGCATACGTGACATAAACATACGTAACTTCCTACACCGCCGGTTCCACAATCGCGAAGAATTGGCGAGACGCAGTTAGAGCGTCAATCTTATCAATATCATTCGCCCCTCGCGGGATCGAAAAGGAATTTTGTTCTTGGGTGAGATCGCCGTGATATCTTCTACTTGTCGGCACGCAACCCCGTATTAGTTCCCTTTTAGTCGCCTTTGAACGACACGCAGGGATTACTGTTGGGTCATATATACACACGTAAAAACATATCTCTGCATGGAAACGCTGTTGGCCTCCGATTTTTCCGCGGCGAATCGCCCCGGTCGTTGGAAAGTCACCCGCCGACTTTTAAACGAGGCGACACGGTGCTCGGATCGGACGCACGACAACGCGAGTCACATACGGTCAGTCCTGATTTCAACTCGGTTGATTTCCCTTTTCCATGCCTCTCCCTGACCACGCTCTTTTCATCCAGACGCTCGTTCGACGAACAAAAACTCGGGCAGCTGAAACCGCTCTCTGATCTAGCTGGCCATTAACGGCCGATTCCTCGGGCTCCTGGCTTTCTTTTTCCGAATTTCTCCCCGGCTAGACTGGTCCGATCCGTGTTCGTCCGCGCCGACACCACAGTCACCGTTGCCGAGCACCACAGCCGGGATATACACTCCGCCTCCGCTCGTTCCCCGTCCCGATCTACGAGAGATATAGTCGAATAAAAGGAGTTTCTCTTTCTTATCTCGGCTGACCCGCCGCGCTGTCTCTGCCAACGCTTCGATACCAACAACTTTCCTCGCCCGATTTTTCATCCCGTGTTTTACTTTTACTCCTACGTCTCTGTACATTTCGTTCTATCTATTCACCGTGCCTTTATTTCATTTCATTTTATTCTCTCGTTCGATTCGAACGTAGCAATTATATTGGAGGCATGCTGGTTATTCGTTTTTCCAGCCACTCGAAAGACAGATTCCTCGAGATCGGAACCGTTCGCTGGGAACTCGTTCCTCGAGATGGTTATACTCTTCCAGATATATCGCTATCTCACTGCCTCTTGGTTTTTTTCACGCCGATCTAGGTCGCAAGTTCAGGAGACTGTCGCGACTCCTTGACCCGCAATCCTCCGACTGAGGATAGGTGTCTCTGATTTTCCGTCCAACGGATCCCGATGATCTTTGAATCTCTTGCGCCGGTAACTGGTTCACGAACCATAACGAATGACCAAACTGTATACAATAATTCGTCTTCTTTTTGAATTCATCGGTATATCACTGGATAGAAATTACTAATTGTAAGAAGTAATAAATTTATTATTTGCTTTGCCTGGGTTATACTTCAATATACTTGAAACTGAGAAAATATTGCAATTCCGGGGCAAATATTCTCAACGTAAACATCCAACAAGCGCACGAGTAATAATTAAACTAAATTTAAAATTTCCTGAAGACTAGTATTCAAAATAAAATAAAATAAATTTCCTAAATCTATGGGATTTTTACAGTAATTTCAATAGAAAATAGGAAAGTTGTATAAAAAAAAAAATATAGAAACGAATACTTAACTTGGATATTAATCTCCAATTGCTTATATTGAGATTAAAATCATCTCAATTCCACGCACAAGAAATCGACCTACGAATTACCAGATCCTCCGATCGCAGTAACAGCAGATACCATAGAATGTACACAGGGTAATTGGAAATATTCCAACAAGTATCTCTGCAAGCATCTCCAACGGATTTCAAGATCCTCGCTACGTTTGATCTCGGTACTAATTGCGTTTTCCGTGATAGACACATGTTCCTCGAGATTGATCGATAAATCAACCGATGTCTGAGTCGCGATTTTCCAACGCTTCGGTGGACCGACAGGTTGCTAGATCGACTTATCGATCGGCTAAACTTTCCCTTCTCACGAATATCGTGTCGGATCTCGAGCCTTCCAGCCAGCTCGTTAACCTCCTGTCCTGCAACAACATCCAGTCACGTTCGCGATACGAATTATGGCTTCGATTTGAACAACGAAACAACTTGTGATTCTGTGGCATTTGAACTTGTATTTTAGATTTCAATTCTTTGAACTGAAGATTAATGGGCATTGCAATTACTATCATCCGATAACATTCGGATACTTCCTTATTTTTTGACGAGACTTTACTTGGAAAATTATGAATAAATTGAAAACAAATAATTTTTATACTTTATAATTGTCGTAGCTGTAGTAGATGATTACGATACGATTAAATTAATTTTTCAAGCAATTCTTTGAGCTCTTGTACACTAATTTATGTATACGTATCATCTTATGTAGAACTGTAGTTTATTAGCTGAAGTAATCGCCAGATTTGTCTGCAGGTGTTTCAGTCTCCGAATCAGAAATTAGATTAAGAAGTTCGTCTTTTACTGATAGAGGAGCTTCCAAAATTAATAAGTGACACTTAAGTAGTAAATTCATTATTATTATATTCCTTGGTAGCTAATTTAAATTTAATAAATTTGTTAATTTCATTAAAAGATGGCGAATACTGCTTCTAACTACCAATTTATCATACATTGTCGCCGTCAAAATCAATTAAAGTATCCAAATATTTATAAACGATAGCATTTACAACACTTCGATACTCGACTCGACGTAACGACCTAAAAAATTAAAAAAAGAAAAGAAAAAAAAAAGAAAAAAAGAAAACACGATTGTTGAGTTTCTGGTACGCGCGAAATCTCTGGCCGACGTTTGTTGGCCGGTAACTGCCGTGAGAAAAAGGAAGCACACCTGGCTTACTTGCCGAGTTACGTCGCGTCGTTGTCTTCCTGCGTCGCGTTCCAGAAGATTGTTATTCAGGCGTTATGCTAATAACAGCGCAACGAGCCAAGGAAACCGTTACGAAGCTTCGCACGAATCTATCAATCTGGCCTACGATGCGTGTAGTTCAGGCTCCGAATCTCCGATTCGGTTGTCCGGCTCGTTCCGAACAATTTGCCAGGCCGATCGGCCGAGTTTGTCGGAAACTGATTCAGGCGCGCGCGCTTTGAGTCCTCGATCGAGCACAAACTGACTCCTTTGGCTTTACATTCTCAAATTATCAAAGATAAAAGAGATTTCTCTGCAGTATATACGAATGGAAGAGTTAGATAGCTGCTGAAACAGATTTCGTCGCACGAAGGTTAAACAGAGAACGAAGATCTCACGCCGAGAAACAGTACAATCGCGGAATTTTTTTGAAACAAGTTAGTCTACAAAATTGCACGAAATAATTAGTATGCGATTGAAATAAATTAATAAACAAAGTTGCACATAAATATTCGAAAAGAATCTCATAATGGGGTACGTTATACCGATCGGGTTATATTACATGGGAAAGATTTAAAATGGAAACGTTTGCTATTGTAAAATACATACTTTCTGATCAAATAATTTGACTATTATGAAGTTCTTGTCCGTTTCGTGCATCACATTGAAACGTAGATAATATCCTAATTTAAAGATTAGAATCAAACTTTTCCTGGCAATTTTCATTCGTCATTCCGAGTATTGTTTACTCGCGAATCCTTTCTCCAGGAAGCTCTTCGATTTTTCACGGTTCGTTGCTGCAGTCTGAAAGGAGAAGTTTTGAGAAAATTTCAAAAATACTGCACGATTGTTGCAGGAGACTCGGCGATTGCGCAAGAATGGCCGACGCCACTCGACGAGTCCGCGGACGAGAAAAACGACGCCGAAATCTTTCGAGCGGTCGTCGAATCAATGAGACAGTGGACGTTGCATAAACAGTTGCAGCACAGAACCAAGAGAGAAGTTTCCAAAGTTTGCTACGAAGATGTCGGCTGCTTCGAGGACACGGGACCTTTTAGCTATCTGGAAATGCTTCCGTCACCACCCAAAGAAGTTGGCACTAGGTATTGAAAAGTAAAAATACTGCACACGATTCGTGAGTAAACCGCAGATTTTTACACATCGTACGAAAAAAAAAAAAATAAAAATGTAAAGGTATTCAGAATAAGTACAGTGCTTTCCACAATATATATTCGCGTGAAACAATATTTCAATTGTAACAATATTTTTAATTATTTTCATTATTTTAAATTATATCATTATAGCTAGAAATTTTAAATTACATTTGTTATCATGAGAATCTAATTTTCTAATTAATTACCAATTCCCATAAAAATCTACGGCTCTTACTTTGTCTTAATCAAATGCGATCTAAGCAATCGTATTGTAAATGTGTTCAGAACTTTTACACGAACACAGCGACGCGACTGTAATTTACAATTGCACTCATTTCCTTTTGTCGAACGATTTGTGCTTTCCTCGCGATGATTACCGTTATTTTATGTTGCGTTGAAGTGATAAGAAAACAGAAATGATACTGATTGTATCAGTAACCTAGTTTGGTAAAAGCACGAACGTAATTTTGTTACATTTCTCACAAGTAACGCAATGCGTTGTAAGAAGTATGCTTGGTTCTGTCTGCAAATAAGTTTGATCGCGCATGACCGCGTAATTGAATTCTTCGTTCTCGATGTGCGTTTTTTGTGTAGATTTTTAGTGTACGGCAGCAGAAAGGCGAGATCGATTCCGATGGAAGTTCCTGCCGATGATATAAACGATAACGCACACCGTGCCATAGATCCCGATCTACCCACCAAAGTGATTGTACATGGGTTCGGATCCAGCTGCGATCACGTCTGGGTTTACGAAATGAGATCCGCCCTAATGACCGTGCACGAATGTAATATAGGTTCGTAGCAATTCCTCCTAGCACCACCGACTACTATGTAACATATTTATGCAAAATATCCAACGTGTTAGTACAATGAATATTTATGGATATCAACTGCAACTTTAATGTCCAATTTCACACTGCTAAATGTTACAATTAAGGTCAATTTAAATTTTCGGCTTTTAATTCATTCCACTTGCTAATTGTAAGTGTTGTTATTAAAAGATGCTATCGTTCGTATATTTTACACATTTTTTTAATTTCTCATAAACACGCAACAACTCGCAGATAATCGCCCGATGCGAAATTTTATTTGCGAGAAGTATGTTCGATGCAAGATTTTTCCATCGCTCGCTAATTGGTATCAGAAAATTTCATCAAGTACTCCATCAGTTGATCACGTACAATCAGCGTTAAATTTTTCTTTTTACATTGACGATCTTCGTATATTCGAATATCTTTTTTAGTATGTGTCGACTGGGGTCCAGGAAGCGCAGTTCCTAACTACGTAAGGGCGGCTGCCAATACTCGTCTGGTTGGCCGACAATTAGCCAAACTAGTTCGAAGTTTGAACGTACCTTTGGAGAAGGTTCACTTGATCGGTTTCAGCCTGGGTGCCCACGTGGCTGGATTTGCCGGTGCTGAACTAGGGAACGTCTCCAGAATCACAGGTACCGAAACTATTGTGCAACATTTTCCCTCTGTGTGCAGTTATTTATGATGATTTTTATGCTACATTATGAGTTGTATAAGAGCTACACTTGCTCTCCGTAATCTGAAGAATAGATATGTTTTCAAGAATTGCAACACATCGCGTTCACTGTTTGTAGTCACGTCTCGAAATTTCTACCTTTTCCACGAAATTCAGGACGAAGTTTAAGAAGCGAAAGAGTTGATTAAAAATTTCTGACTCACTCGTGCGAGTAAATTCTATAAAGATCATAGGAAAATATATATTTTCTGACCGCGTAAATTGAGAAGTGACTGTATTTTTGTTCCATTACTCTGTTCTATGGCGTTTATTACATTCAAGTTGCATAACATATTGCGATATAGTTGTAATCTCTATGTTTTTTCGAGATGTTATCCATATCCAGTCATGTTTACTTCAGTCAAGCATAAAGTTCATTCGATATTTATATTAATCGCTGAATCGATTAAACTACTTCAGTCCGTTCTCTCTCGCAGGTATCCTTCGATGGTACATTCGATAAAGATCGTCTCATTTTGCGAAATCATCGAGTTAAATTTAAATTCTCAAGACGAGTCAGTAAATAAATTAGGTTAATTCAATTGGGAAATATAAATTTGCGTAAATGCATATATGTGATCGAATGGAGAGAAAAATGGCGTGGAAAAACGGCGAAAAATTGAGTAACTAATTACCTTGTTCGTGCAACCGTTCACTAGAAACTGTAACGAGGACTTTTGCAAAAGCGCGAGCATGTAAACGTGCCGCGATTGCAACTCGGATATTTTCTTCTTTCTTCACGCGTCAACGACTCCTTGCATCGATACCGGTCTCGAGTATCCACTCTTTCCAGCAATTTTTCGTTCCGTTCTGCGATTTGAAGGCGAAAACAGAAACTCATACGCGTTTAAATATCGACTTTCGTTTTTTTTTTTTTTTTCTTTTTCTTTAATCGACATCACTTTGAAGAATATATATATTTAGACAGTATCGCAATTCGATTAAGAGATTCATTCAGATTTTCCTTATATCTTCAACTTTTGTGACTTGACCCTTGCAATAACATTCTTGCAATAACTGCAAACGATCTATTAAATTGACACTGAAATAAAGAATACACCTGCATCGTGTAATACTTGACACTCTGTGAAATTTACAGATACATTTAGAACATCAGAGATACACGTCTCAATACGAAACACATTAAATCACTTACAATTAAATGCTGGTCTGCAAGAAAAAATTTCGTCTACCTTCAATTGCTCTTCTTTTATTTATATCAATCGATATGTCAATATTTTAGTTGGTATCATTTTAAATACTTTTGAGTATCTTTAGACAAATATATCTTCACACTTCTGTTTGACCCTTTTTTGGAATTTTCTCTCTCACTTGATCCAAAATGTCGACTGTAATAATTCTTGCGATCGACAGGACTAGATCCTGCAGGACCGCTGTTCGAGTCCCAGGATCCAAGAGCTCGACTCGACAAAACAGATGCCAACTTCGTCGACGTGATTCATAGCAATGGTGAACAACTGTTGCTCGGTGGTTTGGGATCCTGGCAGCCTATGGGTGATGTCGATTTCTATCCTAATGGTGGCAGAATGCAAACAGGTTGCTCCAATCTATTTCTCGGCGCAGTATCCGATATTATCTGGTGTAAGTATCCCTTCTATTATATATTGCTGTTTTATTGCACGTTTTTGTGTAGGACACGATTGATTTATATTTTTGTGCATGTACGCGAACGTACGATCTCGCGAACGACGTAACGAAATGACGCTTCAATGACCACATTAATAATTTCTTGCCATTTTTAGACTTTTTCATAGTGTTGCTAATGTTTACTACAAATTGAATGCTTCACGCTGCTTTTATTTTTTAATTACTTGTTCTACCATTTAGTTTTGTTATATAAAATCCGAATGATAAAGTGCGCTGCGAAAGGCAACGAATATTTTGTTACATTTTTATCAAGGTAATGAAAAAAAAAAAAAAAAAAAAAAATATGGAACTCGAATGGAAACTCGTTTTACTATACTTTCTACACTTTCGATATTTTTTGTATTTTCGCATATTACGCGCATTGCGTGCATCTTCATTTCTGCATAAAAATTCGCAGTCTACTTATGACCGGTTATACTTTAAAACTTTGTCTCTCATTCATCTCATTTCAGATGATACGTGTTACAATAAACCTATGTAGTACACTTCGTACAATTTACAGCAGCGTACAGTTGGCGTAAGTGTTGCGCGTAATGCACTTGACTTACTTAACACACACTTCGTATGTGCTTTATGTACCTGACGCACTCGTGACAATAGAGCGACTACGTAGAATTTTTTTCAAAACAAAAGAAAAACGAATAATAACAGACAATAAAATTTTCTGAAATTCTCGCAGGTTAAGGATGCTTAATGACACCTGTCGTCACTCCCTTTGTACGGCAATGTGTTCTCAGTGAGAGCTATCGGCTGAACGTAATTTAAAAGATACGATAAATCAGAGAGATTAGAAAGTGGGATCTTTCTCATGTTCGTCATTCGATATAGTGTTAGCCTTCTCCACAACGCGCGGATCGAATTATTTGTCCTAAAGAAAGCGGGTCACTCTGCCCCCGTCGTGAAATGTCGCTTAAAGATGACGATTGTAAGAAAATCTCGCAGAATATGGGATAGACATAGACATTGAGATTACAATGTATGAAATGTACGAATGTGGAATGTAAGATACGAAGCGTGGAATATCGATAGATAGAACATGTGAGATGTAGACAAGATGAGATCTCTCTAAAATGAGTGTCAAGATTTCTCGGGTATTCAAATCATCTTTCCCCGTAATCATAAATATAAATGAACGAAACAAAACATTCGATGCTCGTGACAACGTTTCACGTTTCGTTTCTGAAATAATCGCTGTATTAAATAATTCGTTAAATAAACGTTGCAGCAAGCGCTGTTGAGGGTAGATCGCTGTGCAACCACCGAAGAGCCTACAAGCTGTTCACCGACTCTGTCAGCCCCAAGTGCCGATTCCCGGCGTTTCCCTGCGACAATGGTTACGACGGTCTTCTCCGTGGCGAGTGTTTCCCCTGCGGCGTGAACGGTATGGGCAGGCCCTGCGGCGATATGGGTTATTACAGCGACGAGTCACCGGCCAGGGGGCAGCTTTACTTGGTGACGAGGGACGAAGAACCTTTCTGCGCCCACCAGTACCAAGTGAAGGTGTACAACAGCCGCAGTGAAAGACCTGCAAGGAGTTACGGGAAGTTACAGGTGACTCTGGTCGGAGAAGGATCTTTCAACGACACGTTCGCGATGACGCGAAAGGACGAGGAGCTTCTGGTTGGCTCGATTCTCCAGAAAATTGTTGTTCCGCACCCGGCGATTTCGACGGTGGAAGCTATCGAGGTAACCGAGTAAATTGGGACGTACACTTCCGGTCGAAAATTTAAAACGCGTTGAGATTCCATGGGAGTTGTTTTATTCGCGATATTATCATTTTTAAAATAATTATTTTTAAAAATAATATCCTCCCTTCTCAGACGAATGTACGAACAAGTTTATTTCGTATGTAAGATCTCCCCAAAAGTGTGTCGCGTAATATAATATATATAGAATTTTAACAATAAACCATCGTTCGTTCTTGTTCAAATCCCACAGATCAAATACACAGCGTACAGCGGTTGGATCTCTTCGGGCTTAGTGTCCTGGGGCATCGACAAAGTGGCCATCGTCGATAGCTTTGGGAAAACGCTGTCCGTCTGCAAGAAAGGATTAAGCTTAGAATCTGGGAAGCCAGTGTTCCTCCCTCTATTCGCGGGAGAATGCAACGTCCCTGCGGAATCGGACAACTCGACAACGTCCCCGGCGACGATGGAACGTCTGATAGAGGAGAAACAAGGCGGCATCGGCCCGTTCACCAAGGAACAGAACTACGAGATGAAAGACGATAGAACGGAAACAATCTCGAAGGAGAGGACTGCCGCGCCACTGTCCTCGTCGAAAGGTTTGGGTCCATTCACCAAAGAACAAAACGTGCGAATGATCGAACGAAAGGAGAGCTTCAAGCCGGGCCACTTCGAGGAAACGAGCAGTCGCGGTAGCGGTTCGAACAATCCTTGGAACATCGTCGACATATCCAGCGACGGGGATTCCAACTCTTTGGAAAATTCAGACTCCGAGAGGGGTAGAGGATTCTCTGGTCCGAATTTCTTCGGTGCTAGAAGCTCATCCCCGGATCCTTCGGTGGAACCAACGACCGAATTCCTCCCGGAAATTCGCGAGCCTGTGCTGCAAGTGGACAAGAAGGAAACAGGAAGGTCTTTGAAATTCCCGGAGATCACGGAGCCGATATTGAGGCCCCGTTCGGCGAGGCAGAATACCAGGAACGAGGTTCACGGCCGTGAGAAGCAGAAGGAGGAGATACAGGAGACGTCCTCTACGTCCAGAGCGTTCACGGTTCAGTTCCTACCTGAGAGGTTGGCTGGGATCTTGGCACAGGCCGAGAGGTACGCTAGGCAAACGCTCCTTCCTTTGATTTCGCAGTACACGCCCAGCTTCGTGACTGGGACGCGGTTCGAGGAACCGAAATACTTTCCACCTTTGGGCGAGATTGCCTCGAAGAATCATCGAGAGACCAATGAATCGGCGATGGCGAGCAACGATCACCAACGTCAACGAAGTGACGATCGAATTGGTAAAACTGACAACGAGTCTTTCATGGAAGCGAAAATGAAAAATTCTTCCAACGCTACGTCGATGGAAGTACTACCAGTCGCGGAAGCGAATTCTCAGGAGAGAGATCTAAATTCAACGAGAATCGACGAGAGCAACGAGTGGACACCCATGGAACACTCCACCACATTAAACTCCGTATCTAGGAAAGACTTTAACGCGTCCAGGTCCCTGAATTGGGAACACGAGAAATACAACTGGTCCATGCAAACGACGTTGGAAAACAGTAGCTCGGAAATGGACGATTGGGTGCCTATTACGGTTAAAAGCGAAATCGAAATGTCCGAGGCTTCGAACAATGTGTCTAACGAGATCGGTTTGACTCACGCTGTTACCGACAAACAGATCGAGACTGTTCAAACATCTGGACAGGAAGCTGTGACGATGAAAAACACTAGGAATAACACGGACGAAGAAAGAGTGAAAGACGAGAGGAAGTACATACCACTGATCAATCCGAGTACCGAAGAATTACCGTCGACGAGCACGAATGATATCTCAGAGACTGGCTCGAGTTCCTCCACGTACTCGCCGTACTCTCACATTCAGAAAATACCCAGACCGATCGAGACGAGAGCTGGAGGAAGTTCGACGAGGAGAAGTATGGTCTTCCCATACGCGTACGAGAAGAAAAAGGATCCGAGGACTAGGTATATACCTTTGATACCGGAGGAAGATATGGGAAGGTCTCACTCTTCGTTCGAAAGAGAACGCTGAACCAATTGAAACGAGAAAGATTTATTGGAATTAATGTATATTGGAACAGTGGATCTGTGGAATCATCGTTGAAGATACGTTCCATTCTGACAAACTTCTGGTTCCTCATTGACTTTTTCTATTGTTCGTAGTTGTCGTTGATGAATAATATCATCATCATCATTCTCTGTGGAGCGTGTGTATCGAATTTGCGTTGGTAACGTTGGTCAGTAGAAATCGACGGCTTTATAAAGAACGCTTTGAAGATGTTTTTTGGTAAAAATTGGAGCCTTAACTTTATTTTTGTATATAGGAATTTTTTTTACAATATATATAATATATATATATATATATAGCTTCGCTGAAATCTGTTTCTTTCACATTCGTTACCGTCAATTAATTCTTAATTATTATCATCGTCATCTGTGTTTCCCCCATGTATTTTACTTATGTCGAACGGACGATCGTAAGAGCGAAAAAATCCCACTTTTGTATATAATGACCCGATCATTGGAAATTGCGAAACGAATATCGCTGAAATAGCATTATATTTCTTTCTCATTTTTTTTTTTTTTTTCTCGTAATAATATGTACATCTAGGGTCTGCGCAAGCCACGTTTACTGACGGTGGTGCGCGCTGACGATAGTCAAAAGTATGGAAGAGATGATTCAAGTGGATTTCTATGTGTATCTATAATATATCTGTTTTTACTTAAAATAAATAACCATTTTTAAAAAGAAAAATGCGCCTCTCGGTCTTACAAGTCCGATATACTTTTACTCTTTGTTACTTTCTCACGTTTCTTTCTCTTTCTCTCTTTCACACACGCACATACGCGCATAAACATACCATCTTCTTCGTCTAAACCCTCGACAATCACTTTTCGAGCAACCAAGTATTTCAGGATATGCCCACTCCTGATATGTCCGCGACTATTAAAAATAACTGCTATTCGCAGTCCTTGCTTCAACGTTTCTTCAGGTACCGATTGACGCGTCAAAACAGAACGCATCGTTCTATGATAATCGACTCGATACAAAAATAACAGGTACACGACGCATATTTGTTTCGGCAGCTGGGAAGACTAAAGTTAAAGGGGCTGATTCGTCGATCATCGATACACTCGAAAATAAAAGCTTTGTCAACGGATTCGACATAACACGTTTTGCGTTATTTTCGTATCGACTCGACGGAACGAAATGAAGAAAAAAAAAAAAAAAGAAAAAACAGAAAAAGAAAAAGGAAAAACAAGAAAAGAAAATCTTGGCTTCTGGTCGATAGTGCATTCCGTTAGGCAAGGAAGAAGGGACTGCGAATTATCGAGAACTTACTACTTACATACATTATTTAACAAACACGCAGTCTTATCAAGTAGAACCCGTGAACGAACTCTGACAAGTAGAAAGGTATAGTTACCTAATTACTCTAGTAGAAATTTGGTTCGACTCGTCCCGCAACCAGGGTGACGAGACGATTTACACGCTGACGCGTGGTAGAGACACCCAAATTATTCTCTCCACGTCCTCTGCTACTCATATACAGTACTCTTTCAAAAAAGAAAAAAAAAAAGAAAAAGAAAAAAAGAAGGAAATTCATTGAAAATAAATCGGAATTTTCATCGTGATACAAACATCACGTGGAAGATAATTTAAAAAACGACTAAGCCTATTGATTCACGATGTAAACGGAAACGTAGAGAGATCTAAGACTTAAAAAACGATTCGATGCTTATCGGAAGTTTCGTAAAAACACTGTATCTGTGTAGGAGAGCGGAACTAAAGACTATTATGCTTCGCGTACCACCTCGAATTCGTTTCCCTGTCCCACTAAGCTCTGTGTCAACGAATTTCGATTATACAACTAAGTATTTTACCGTACAACAGAGACACGAGTTCGAGAAAGCAGTCGACGAGCACGTACGATATCTTACGCTTTTAAATATTCACACACACGTGTAATCCACGCATTCGATACATCGTCATTTACATTCTGAATTCCATTTGTCTTCTCCAAAACGTACGTATGTACGTTCTGACGAAACGTTATCTTTACAATACGCTCGTTCCGCGTTTTGTCAACGACTAACGATGTAATATATTCGTAATTTTCGAACAGGTTGTGTGGTAATTCGCTTTCGTTCTCATTAACGTATTGTTCACTTTCCATGGAACACTTAAGTTTACATCGCTACGACATACAAAAGATAAGGCCGCCACGATAATACACTGACTAGATCAGTTTCATTTTCTCTCTCTCTCTCTCTCTCTCTCTCTCTCTCTCTCTTTCGCGCGCGCACGTTTTCTCTCTTCTTCCCTCTCTTTCGCAAGTGTGTGTGTGGATCATCTCTGTCACACAATTCTTTTATATCAACAAAAATATTCAGGACACGTGTATCTCTGTCAACAAAATATACTATGTGTCTCGTTTCGTATCCTGAGTACTAAATCTACGACGCGCGACGTACGACCGCGGTATCGAGGCGTCGTGCGCTGGGGAAGTATGTATGTATCGTTCGCTCGATCAAAAAGTGTAGTTTAAAAACTCGTATAAGCACAGCATAGGCCCTGACGAATTCTTCTATCTCACCAAACTTGCACGATATATTGTGCACAAGAAAAAGACGGCAGTACTCAAAAACGGCACGCAGACAAATGATCGATACAAAGAAACACAAGAAAGATATAAATCACCTGGCCAACGATACAATGATCCAGCTTAACGTGAAGAGTCTGACACTGAAAGTTTTTCTCAAATTAAAATAGTTTCGTTTATTTTTTATTATTAATATTATTATTTCTTTCTTTAAATATTTGTGTTTATGTAAGAAAATATACCGCCTTCTGTTTGTACATTGCCGTAGTTTTCGGTGCTTATCTCGACATCCTCGTTTAATCGTAAGAGAAACAACGTCAACTTCGATATCGGCGCGAAAAAGTAACGCGTACAAAAAACGAACCAAGTGAAAGGAGACGATTGTTGGGATCGGTAACGCATTGAAGAGCCGTTTTCAAGGTAGAGATGTGAATACAACTGGTAAACTCACGTTTCGATTTCGTTTGATCGTCGAGTAGTAAACGATAAAAAGTCGGTTGTCGTGGATAAGGACGGAGGTGGCTAACTAGGAACTGCGAGGCACTGCGAAAAGGTAAGAACATGAGCAGCGTTTTCTAACTGGCATTCGAGATTGCCGCAGTCTCAAAACCAAACGTGTATTGCTTCTCTCAATCCCTTTGAACCGTTAACTTCTCTCTCATTTTGTTCATCCATTCTCCTCTTTCTCCGCTTCTACTAAATTACGTACGTACCTAGGGAAATAGGTTGGCATTTGGAAAATTCTCGAATAGATCCCAAACTATACAAACTGCAAGAAACGTTTCATTCTCATGCAAAACACTATTGACGTATTCCTCGGCGTGTCTAAAGTGAAAGAATCTTCTCTTTTTTTTTCAATTTTACGGCTATTGCATCCAGTGTAAAGTTCTCCTCTTTCTCTTTTCTTTTTCTTCAAAGTGCACTAACGCTGACGGTGAGAAATGTCTAACGATCGTCGCACGCGGAAGAGGAAACTCGTGCCGACAGCTTCGAACATAGTTGCATGGATCAATAATGTATGTAGATTATCAAAAAACATCACAGTCGGGTTACTAGAATTTTTTTTTTTTTTTTTAAAGAAGCGTCCGCTCGACTCGTACTCGACTGTATTTTCATTGAACTTGTACCACAGATGCTCGAATCCGGTAAATACCGACCTCGTTCTCCATTTTCAAATATTCTAACTTCGATCGCCAAAGTCCAATAAAAATATAATCGATTCCTCGATCCTTTCAGCTCTTCCGTCGCGCGCGACCAGGTTGTTCGACTCCTATTTTCCTCCGGATCTCTCTACTCTTCGCTCCAATATCTTTGTCGCGTCGATATTGCCGTCATTCTTGCCTGTGAAACAGCTCGTCGTGTCGAAACGTTTCTCCGTGTAGGCGCGTCTGCGCGCGTGCGTCTCACGCGGTCCAAAAACATCGGCAGATAACTAAGAAATCCTAAGGAACAAACTCTACGGCGTGCAAGCGACGCGTATCACTTTTTGTCAAACAGAGGCAACTTGCTGCGCACTGCACCCTCGCAGACGACCAACCTCTGTGCGGCTGAGATGCTGCACAGCGGAACAGGACCCTCTAAGCTTGCCTTCAACAACGTTAACCTACTAGAACCGGCATCGTGATCGGCGAGTCGCAAGCTGCCCGCTTGCTTCCTCTCGAAATACTCGACGATCTTGGAGATGGTCTTGCTGGAAGACCCGATGCCGCTTAACCTATCCTCCCAGCAAGAGTCACCACCACCTAAACTCGCTATATCCTCGGACGAGTCGGTGTAGATCGAGCTGGTCCGATGATCGTCCAAGAGAAACAGGCTGCTCGCCGCAGAGCTGCTCAACGTGGAGGTGTGTCGGCGATTCGGCGGCTCTGGGCTGAGATCTTCGCCGACGCAGCTCCAGAAGCCCGACTCGCAGCTACCGCGCCTCCTTGGCTCCCATCCGTCCCGGAAAAGCGGGTGGGTGAACAAGCTGGCAGCGCCCACCTTCGTAGCCACCTGAAAACCGAATTATCGTTTCATCTCTAATTAACTCCGTCGAGACGCGATCTCTTCCGTGGCTAATTATACTTTGATCGCCTAGACTTCTAATTAATACCAACGCTGTGTTATTTAGCTCACCAAGCCATTGTTAAATCGCGAACAAATGTTAACTTTGCTGTCTGTACCTTCCTCTCCCATTTCTTCCTGGCAGTGGGACTGCTCGGTTCCGAATTTGGTTTCTTCCTGTCCAAGATCTTCGCGATACTGTCGTTCTGCGCGGGCTTGAACTTGGCGATAGCATCGGTGACGCTCGGCCTGACGTCCTCCAAAGACGGAAGCTCCAGACAGCTGGAGAACAGGTCGCCGAGAATTTTTTTCACGCCACCCAACGCGTGGAACGGATTCGCCGTCATGGGCCTGTAATGCGGATCCCTCCTGCTAGCCAGTTCCGCCACTCTTCTCACAGAGTGACATCTCGCTTTGTCCGATGGCGTCGCGTTGTCGCAACCCCTCGCGTCTGCCGACTGACTCCGAAGACGAGCGGTCTTGCGTTTCGTCGGCCGTCCCTCTCGAGTGATTTCGTCCATGCTAGACATCAGAGCAGGATCCACCGATTGACGCTTGCCGATGCTGTTCTTCGTTTCCTCCTCATAGTTGCTGATCATTGTGTCCAGGCTGCAGACGATCTCCTGGAAGGTCGGTCTCGACTTTGGCTCGTACTGAAAAACCAGGCCGATGCACGCGACCGTGAAACGTTTGTAGACTAAAAATACAGACGGTGCCGCGAGATTCGACGAAACGGGCGATATCAGAGATTTCCCCAACGCGTGTGAAATAATAACTGTAGGTACATGCAGGTGTATTCTTAAGGGATCTGCAATATGTTAGATGGAACAATTTGCGTGGGAAAGAGTCCATTAACCTCTTGTTTTAATATCCTAATTCAATTATTATTATTTCAAGATAATATACCATTAAGTATACGTATTATAAATCGACTGCAGATTCGGCTAGTTTCATATTTAATACTGTATTGGACTAATCCAAAACAGCCAATCGCTTCCTCCTGTGTTTTATGTGGTTTCATCCGAGATAACTCGAATCAACTCTTTAGGGATAACTAATATCTATCTGATATTGACTATTTGAATTTTTTAGATAATTTTCATAGGTTTAAGTTACATTAATAGTAATAATTAGCTATTTTTTAAATGTTGACAGTAAGCGATCGCATATCGATTTTACTCATATGTAATTATAAAATAACTTCTGATCGAGATGGCACTCCCACAGGAGTCAGTATTGAACTACTGAATGGCTGATGAGACAAGGGGGTTGAAATGAAAAAATTAAACTCGCGTGAGCGACCCTTAAAGTCACGAGAGCGAGAGTGGAAAACCGTGGTGAAGTTGCGTTCTACTCACGGTGCAACAATCGAAGGCAAGCTGCAGGAAGGCTGGCGGCGGATCAGCTGCCGCGCAGATCTCTGCCACGGCCAGGTAATCGAGGCCAAAGTTGTCTGACCGTGGTAGAACGTCCGGATCGGCCGGCACCCGGCCGATCAGCTCGCAGACCACGATGCCAAACGAAAAGATGTCCGATCTGTGATCGTACCACTGACCCTTCAGACACTCCGGTGACATCCAATAGGGGCTACCCACGGTGCTCAGCCTATATCCGGAACTGGGATCGGGGATCTTTGCCGCCAAGCCAAAGTCGCCCACCACGGCCGTCATCTCCGACGTGTTCTCGTCCTTTTTGATCAGTACGTTCTTCGACGTAAGATCGCGATGAAAGAGTCCACGACTGTGGAGATAGGTCATGCCGCGCGCCACGTCTCTCGCCAGATTCATCCTGATCGAATGGGGTAGCGGCGTGTGCCTCGACATGATCAGCTGTTCCAAGCTACCGCCGTTTATGTATTCCGTCAACGCGTGCAACTGTCCCTCGTGTACGCAGACTCCCATAAACCTGCAGCGTATAAATAGAAAGTTTATTAAAAAAAAAAAAAAAAACGTGCGATAAATATATTAATTACTGACAATTACGGTAATCTGTATATTCAGATACTCTGGCCATTCGGCAAGATAATCAGACGAATGAGAAATACAAATGTGATTGATTTGCATCCATTCTTATATTGCACACCATGTGCGTTCATCTTACTGACAATTATATTAGACACGATGGCTAGATTTTCTCCCGAATGATGAATGTTTCAATCGCAGGAATATGCGAATCTTACGATTTATTAGCATAGAAAGTCATTTTTCTATTCTACTTCGTTCTCGAAAGTTGCAATCGTTTTAAAATTCCTTCGGAATAAAGACAACGATATCTCGACTTCAATTTCCACAGAAAAATAAAAATTATCCGAAAGCAGATACTTGGATGATAGAGTGCGCGGGGTAATTTTTCATTTACCCGAGTATTTTCCCGAGTATCTAAACACTCGTGGCAGATTGTGTTCTTATGCACCAGGGGGTTTTATTCAATTATTCTCCATGCCGCGAACATCACGTACAACTGCGTTGTTTCCACGCTGTACAATTATCAACGTTGTTGCTATTATCGTAATTATCGTACGGGAGATTGGTTAGTTGCGAGATGCTTCTCCCTTTTTCCCTCTGTTCTCCATTCGAGGGTCCTCATTACGAGGATAGCTCTCGCGTAATCGAGGGAAGAGCACTCCCTTTAAAGAAATCCACTTTCAGATGCACTTTGAAATCCACCACGTCGCGACTCTATTCTCGCTCGTTCTGACCGCAATTCCAGCATGAACGTTTCGAGCTCTGGTTTTTCGGAGCCGACTTTCGCTACTTCGTTTCTTTTCTCTGTCCTTACGCGAGAGGGCAAGACTTTTGAAGAAACCAAAGGCGGCGAAGTAAATTTTTTTCGCCTCCAGGCAATGAGGTTAATTACCAAGCGAGCCTCTATATCAATCTGCGCACGAAATCGTTTCGCTTGTTGCTTATCTTTTCCTATATAAAGATCGCGACCTTCGCGAGTACGCGTATTCCGCGCGGATCTATGACCCAGATATAAGAGCAACTAGTGACGATTTCGGGTTATCAAGCACTTTGAATCGCTTTGAACGTTCACAGGTGCTCACGAACCTTTGTAGGCAGCTTTTACGAATATATAAATATTTATTAATCCTTTATAACCTATATTCTTTTGTGGGTACAAAAAAATTTATGTAACGAGATACAAAGTAACTCAAGTAACAATGAATTTGTAATTTTGAAAAATTTCATTTTAAATGAAACGATGTACGAAGTAAAAGCTGACAATCGCACGTTGTGGCTAAAAATGAAATACGACTCGGAAAATATTGATATGTCAGCGTGTGACTTCAAAGAGTCACGCAGTTAATGCGATTATCATGATTCTATAGATAGATATTAAATTATATAAAATTTAAAATTGTAAGACACGTAATAAAAGTATGTTTCACACACATCACAAAAATATTTAAACAGCTAATTTATTTTATCAATATCTAGTATTACCATCTTTAATACTTATTACATGCCTAAGATGATTGTCGCGCACTAATATTATGTTACATAAATTTAAAATAAATACCTTGTAACTTTCATACATATTAATTTCAAATTATTTCAACATAACTATATGATAATGTTTCTCGTACAAATAACGTTGAAATATGGACGATATTTTAAACATCGTGATACAAAATACAGAGATAAAAAGTTGCGAGTATCTTTCGACTGGTCTTGCGTTGACGACAATTTTTAAATTTGTTTTTCTATACTTCGTATTCATAATCGTACCAGCTGGTGCACCGTTTACACCCTTGTTAAACTCATTAACATCGTCTATCTAATGCGCACTTCTTCTACGGTTTGTTTACTTTGTCTGGAGCCATAATTTTTAACGAAAAGTAAAACTAAAGAAAAGCAAAGCGGCTAATGTCAAGAATTAACCAGAGATAATCACATTGCACAAATCATTTAATATACATTTGGTTATTCTATTTTAGATCCAGAGCTAGAGTGTCATCATGCGAAAAGATTGAACATTCTTGGTTTTTTCACTAGTTAAAAACACGTATGTGCATGTATTGCTTGTAATATTGTTAGATCCAAGTTCACTTCTTATGAAATTTCGGCAGGATTTATTATACTGCGGATTTTAACATAATTCTTTATTTTCATAAACAGATTTAAAGAAATGGAAGCAACGTAGAAATCTGCTTCAGTGAAATAATCACACGATTTGGCACAGTAATTCTAATTATCAACATGTGAATCTTCTCAATGAACTATATAGTTGAGCTTTTCAAGTTTAGGAGGAATGTGAAATGATTAAGAAGTACTGTTTTGTCACGGTATTCTATTAACACTCAACGTGCTTTGAAGCTTCCTCTTTTATCACGAAATATCGTGAAACATGAGTGGAAAGGTCAGTTCTTCGCTCGAGCCATGGCACCGGAAAATTCGAGTTCGTCAAAAGACGAAGAAGAGCTTTTCCGCATGGAACGGGCTTATTAATTTTAATTGGTCACATCCGGTAAATGTCATTAGATTTCACTATTACACGAGCTACAATATTCTTCAGAATTTTTCTCGTATAGGTGCTTTAATTCGATTGAACATTCAGTGAGCTACGATTATTTTTTGAATGCGCAGACAATCAAATTTTATGTCTATTTATAAGTTCCTTTTTAAGTCATTTTTATTTTCGTAAAACTGCTCCAGATAAAAATTTGGAACGTCCAGGCTTGAAATTGATTTTTACACTTGTTAAACAAGGATAAAGTATTTGCATATAATCTTATCGTCAATAATCGTATGAAAATACCTACTTAATATGCTTAATTGATTAACAAATAAATAAAATAAATACGCAAGGATAATGAATAAAATAAAGTAACTGAAATAAATACAGCAATAATAAATATATTACGTACGAATGACAGCAGGTAACTATACTTGCTAATTGCATAGACAGAAATTGTATTGCAGTTTGAAGTAATTATCTGTTCAAATTGACTTGTTTAAAATGTCGTGGAAAGGGAAAATTTCAGAACGTACGAAAGTAAAATTATCGCCACGTATCTCTGATATATCGATGTAGAACGTGTGAGGTGTACACCTGATTACTCATCAACCGTGAACGCTTCGGTTGCCAACGCAAGGGTTAAGCCAGTGAAAACCTGATGCGATTACGATCACTTTAGAACTTCCTTTTTGCTCGATCCTACGTCATTCCGTGGATTTCATTGGTTTAACAGGAAGAAGATTTAACGATCTTCAAAAAAGATTCAACGATCTATGCACCGTCGACGCGAAGACGAATAATTGCATCGTAGATTTCGTTATTTAACAAGGAACCGACGATAGTAATCGTGATTATGGGAAAAGCGTATTAGTCACGTTCAAGCGATTTTTTTTTTTTTTTTTTTTGCCAAAGATTAAATAACTCCAGCAGATGGTGGCGAGTTGTGTAGGTCGGAGTTGAGGTTCGCCGGGTCGATTCATTACATCGAAATGTCATAAGCTTAACGCGGGTAGGTAAATGTCGCGATAAACACCAATTACCGGACCGATCACCCATCCTATTGACACGACGTTATCTCGCTCGTTCATCTAGAATCCTTGTAATTTATGCGCTCGAACGGTGGATTATCTGCGAACAACGAGAAACTCGCGATCCTTATCGAGATACACTTTGTAGTCCGATAAGAGTACCAGTCGCATTTCTAAACTGCGACTACCATCGAAGTATTGAAACGATCGTGCTGGAATATCATACGTTTCTGACAATTAATTTACTAAATTATGTTTGGGACAAATACTGCTTCTAACTCAAAAAAAAAATGAAACGACTGATTAATTAACAAGTTCTCGACGTTAGATTTTAGCTAGAACGTTTCATTTTATCGCTAACAGCGATAAATTAATTGAACACGCTTAATCCCGAATAACAATTGGCAAGATTAAAATCACAATGATGTAAATTAAAATATCAAGAATTTATCCTTTTTTGTATCACAATTAATTATAATTTTACTCCGATCTGAAGATATAAATATAATGAGTTTAATAATATAAGTATGTACAATATATAAATAATATACGAGTTTAATAATATAATGTAATCATTTTATAGTAATAAATAAAGCAGTAAAGAGAGTTTTCGAAAGACGAGTTAGTGAATTACTATGATTCTTAGCCAGAAAATGATATAAAGAAGAAAAAATAGGGGGATTTAATTTCTAGTTTTAACTAAAGCTCTCGTCAGAACAAGTTGACCGAATGTTATTAAGGCCTATATTTAGTTTATCGCAACGAAGATTGGACAATCAGAACGGTATCTTAATATCTGTGCGATTGCGCGCGCGTGCGAACTATGTCACGATGAATTACCGGTCACTTTGCTTTTATTGCCAATTATTATCACAATATTCTCGACATGACGATGATCGAAACTCAGCACGTGCGACCATCGACGCGATGCAACTCGCACGCACGCACGCAAATCACGTCGCTTCGACAATTTCGTTGATCTCTCACTTCACAGATCTATCAATTATCTTTACGGAACACCGATGTCTACATTCTTCGGTGAAACAATAGAGATAAACGTCGATACGACTAAATATTTCGATAAGATTTCTTATCGAATTCTTACGACGACGAACAATAAATATTATCACATATTTCCTAGTATCAACGTACACAATGCAAGATATTATCTTATAATATGAGCAGGTCGAGCATTGTATCAAGCACGAAGTTTGCTAATAACGATTATTAATTATATTAATTTTATTTTCTGTTGTGGCGTTTAACAATGTAGTACAGTATTTTACAAAACCTAAATCTAAAGTCTAAAATAAAATAAAATAACAGGCACACGCGTTGGGAATAAAAATGCTGGCAATGTAAAATTCACAAATTCGTAAGAGGAATTATTCACTGCGTTCCAAGCTTGATGCTTCGAAGCGGCTCGGCGAAGTTAATTATTCAGGAGCACGTTCCTGGTAGTTGCCGCGGAATATTCAAAGAAAATGCGACCGATCGATCGACGCAAACGCGGCGTTAGCAGGGAAATGTCAGTCCCGTTCTCAACACAAAATCAAACACACGGCGTTCCAAGATTACCGACCGACTTCGTTCAACCATATTCTCTGAAACGAAACCTGTTGCTATGTCCAAACGCGCATCGTTTCGAAAAATACGAAATTTACTCGTGAAAATACGTTCTTATTCCTCGTCGATTTTCTTCACTTTCTTGTTGCTCTGTTTCTTCTCCTCTGTTTCTTCTCTTTCCTCTCAAGCTGGTTCACTCTCGATGGGAAGATGCGTCGCGACGACGACGACGCTCGCGGTTTTCGCAGCCTTCAACGAGAGAAATGCCAGAAATAAGATCCGCTAGCCACGCGGGATAAACACACACAGCCGAATCTGGGCCAAGCCGTTTATATCGTTGGAATGCGTTGTCGCGGCGCGTCTAGTCGCGGGCATCAGGCGGAACAGCGCGGCGGTACGCGCTGCCATTATGTCATAACTCGTAACTCGTAAACCGCGAAACTCTTTTGGCATTAGCTGCCCCGCAGTCATCATCACGATTGCATCAATCATCAGCCATGCGTTTCGAACGAGCGTGCTCTGCCTCTTCTTTCTGCGTGGGAACTCGCTGCTTTGCGACACGAAGCTTCTGCGAAGCGGATGAACGATCTTCGTCGTTTTATCTCCTGATCCGGGACAGTTGATGATTTCAGATCAGAGAACAATTCAGAGAGAATACAGTGAAGAGCATAGCTGTGACAATGACAATGAAAAAAATTTCAAAATTGTCGATTTTGAAAGCGATCCATTGAAATGAAGTATCCACTTTTGACAATTGTGAATTTGTTTGTTTGTTATATCACGCAGCGGGTGAGGAGGCGACTTTTTTTCTCTCGGAAATCATCAAAATTCAAACTTGCATGGAAACGTTGGGAAATATTTTTTGTAACTAGATCCATCATCGTCTTGAAGATTTCTTCTTTTCACAACGACCCCTCGAAAAATTTGATGTACGATTTTATGAAAATTTTATTCAGGAAATATATATATATATAGCCAATGCATCGAAGTCTGAATTTTAAGTTTCATTACTAGGCGATAGAACGGACAGTGCAAAAGGAAAACAAATGCTTGACTCGCTGCTCATAATGATTGATCGCAATTACTTCAAGGGAGAGTAGTTGGAAACTTCGACGAGCAAATAGTGAAACCAGTAGGCCATCGTCGGTATATGCGACTTAAATTGCCAGTTGTCTACTTGCTTCGATGATCAAGATTCAACCATGACGTGCAAGAGTAAAAAAAAAAAAAATTCGTTCGCGTTGAGATTTCTCTCGTTTCAGAGCGTCCGTTCGATCGAGCTCCGTTTCTCGGGACGTTGACACGTTCTTTTCTCCTCAACCACCGATACTCGCCGCCTACGTGTATTTCTCTGTTCGAAAATAAATACCAACCGACCAAAGAGAAAAAAAGAGACGTCGGCTTGATTGCTTCGACCAACGAATATCCCGTTTGCAACCTCCATTTCGGTCAGTTCTATCCAGCTGTGCGTATAGTTTTTCACTTCCACCGCGCGACAACTCGTCCCGTTTTGATTTAAAGCTATCGGCGAAGAAAGCGAACGGACACACGCGTAACCCGTCGCACGTCCCTCGTGTTTATTCGTTAATCGAGTAGTCCAGTACAAGAGGGACCTAGTCTACGTAAGATATTCAATAGAATTAAATTCTACGCAATGAAATTTTCGTAATTAAAATTCATATACATAAAATTAAAATTTATATATATATATATATAAATTCTACTGATGGATGCAGCGACAGAAGTTAGTTACATTAAGTAAAAAGTTATATATTTCTTACAAATGAAGTTGCTGCAAAACTGCTCTCGTAATATTAAAAAAATTTCGTGTTTCTTCTTGGCAATTTCATTAACACTATTTTGATACTGCTTTTAGTTTTACTCGAAGTACGCCACAGTACGCCATAGTACGATTAAGAGGTAAACAACAGATGCCAGAGTAATTTTTAATTAATTTTTAATTGATTCTTAATTTAAAAAATTTCCTTCTCCAACATTTTCCAAAATTCGGCGCGAACCAGCTGATCTTGGTCAACCGAGTCGAACACAGTCAAGTGAGTTTCTCCTACGCAAAAGTGGACCGGACTTTGATTCGACTCACCTGAGTATGTTTGGATGACTGAGCTTGTTCATCAGTTGAACTTCCTTCAACATGTTTGGCCTATTCGCTGGTAGCTGGTTCATCTTCAGGACCATCACCTGACTCGTCACTTTGTGGGTAACCTAGAAACCAGATACACAGATGCTGAGCACAATTTATCGCATTTTCCACGCTGCAGGAATGCTACACATTACATCGAACCCTTGACCGTTTAAGCGTTTTCTGATGTGAGCCTAACGGTTACTCGTCACGTTACGAAACATCGTGTTTATCGTTGATGGAAGTACGTACTCGAAATTAGACGACAGTTAGATCAAGATTGTAAATTTATGATTGCAGCGAATGCGTAGCTCCGACGAATAAAACATCCGAGGATGCGCATATTACGTACATGTGTATGTAAGTGCTTATAAGAATCTATGTACGGAAGATTACAGGGAAGTGATACAACGAATCACATTTTTCATGCTTCACAGAGGAGTAATTTTAAAACTCAATATGTTGCCTCGATGAATTTTATATTATTTCACTATAACTTCTCTCTTTTCTTCTTTCTACGTCGTTTACTAACTACAAAATAAATGTTGATTGCCATGATATCGTTAGTTGTTCAAGAAACTTTGCTGATTTATTAGCTATTACTAAAGAGCTTCAACCTTTACCGATATAACAAGACTTCTTCTCATCTGTGTATTATTAAAATACTTTCTTCTTGTCGTCAAATGTTTATCACTTTCTCACATCCTTCAACATTTGAATATTTCAACATATTTGTCACAAGACGTAGATGACAAAGATGTTAATTATTTATATTATTGATGAAGAAATAAATTAATATTATCGACCTTTCCGGCGTCGTTCTCTCTCTTTTTTTTAATATTACCAGAAATGTAAGACGTTATACGTTTACGTGACAAAAGTTACTTTTCATACTGGATTCCTTATTTTTCAGGCAAGTAAATAATTTTGTTATATTACGTGCATTATCGGACAAGATTAAAAAAAATTTCTTTATGATTAAAGTTCTTAGGTTTTTACATAGAAAAATGTCTAAAGTTAAGGAGAAAAAAGGAAAATGAACGTACAACGGCACGAAAGCGGCTTTGAAAAGTGACTAAAAAGCTGAAACTTTCTACATTCAAATAAATAAAAATATAAAGCACGTTTAAATAAAAATCTTGTTCCATTTAAACGACCTTCTATTAACATTATATAGACCTTAAAATCTATTATTTAAGTAAGGTGTCTAACACTGGACGACAATTTTTTCTATATTACGAATTATTACTCTTTTATTTATGCGAATTATTAATCCTTGTGATAAAATTTAAGCAAAAGCATCGTTCTTACTAAAAATTTATCTTTTTTTAAGTTCGATTTTTATCAAAAATTGTAATAAAAAAAAAAAAAAGAACTTAGAGTACCCGGTGCTGTACGGATCCATCGTAATCGCAGCCTAATCCGAAAACCACTTAAAAGAAGCACAGTCTTCAACAAATAATTTCTCGATCGTATCGCGATAGGTCGCGGTGTCTTGGAATGCTTCACATTGCGTAAAGATAATTTTAGAAAGCCGAGTGTCCAACTGGAAGAAGTGAGAACCGAGGGTAAGTATACGAATCGTCCAATAAGACGAACCAACTCGTAACTCGTTCGGCCGAGTTAATTAATAGCTCGGCTAATTAATAGCTCTGTTAACAGAAGTATTATTATTCGCGAATATTTCGATGCTCGCAGCGAGAGACTTTCTTGTATCTATGTAGATCGCTGCGAGTGTTTCTACCACGGGCAAGAAAATTATCTCGACGCGTATTACACCGCAATTAAGCGTTCCCGCGTACGACGACGCGATACCGAGGCCCGGTGTTCGCCGTTCCAAATCGTACGACGATATCTGTGCACACGTTTTCACAGCTCGAGAAGCGCGTGAAAGAACGCCTTCTCACGGGGCAGAGATCTCGCTACGTGACGCGTAGACTAGGGACGTGGAATGATCGTACAACAGCTTAAACAAGTACAAGAGAATCGTAGACGTAGTACACAGGTACATTGTGAATCGTGTTCGAGGATGCTTTGAGCGTTGGTTATTTATTTATACAGAGTGTCCCATATGAAGCTAATGTAATTTTTGCTTAAACTATTCACTATAGAGAAAAAAATATTTCAAATTAAACCCCTCGGAGCAACACAAGTTTTATTTGAAACTTTATTTTCCTCTATATCGAACAGTTTAAGAGAAAATTGCACGGGACATCCTATATTTATTCGTTCAATTGTTTATTCATTCACTCGTATACACGAATCTCGTTTATACGAGACGCTACGCTCGTCGACATTTATAGTGTATCAACCTAACAGAATAGAGGATAGCGAGTGACAGTTGCGAAATATGTTTAGTTTTAAAATTTGTATGTCTTATTTTCAATTCACTATATATATCTTCGATATTTGAATCCGAGTGAAAGTAGTAAATAGTATTTTCTCATGATTTAAACATTTAATGAAATAGTATTTCATTTAAGCATTAAATGCAATAGTATTTCCAAATAGTACTTATTTTTGCAAATATTTCAATGTTTACTGTTTTATATCGAATTATTTAAAATTTTCCCCAGCTCTGGAAACGATTAAATCGTTCGATCAAAATTAAACGAGTGGTCGGACAATTGGAAGTCGTTTGAGCTTGACCGATACTGCACTTGCACAGCCGATTTTGAACAACTTTCACAAGTTTAATTCAATTTGTTCTATCAAGAATCGTCGAATGTATACGACGACGAAAGCAACGAGTGGCGCCAAATCGTAGTGAGACAACCGTAGTGACACGTTGTTCGTTGTTTTTGTTCGTGGCGCTACAGAGGATCATGGCCGCGCGAGAATTCGTAAAAGTGCGAGGAGGCGACGAGGCGGAGAGGCGCCCGTTAGTCAGAGTCGCTCGAAGAGCAAATTAAGAGCGGAAACAGGGCGATTTCGTGCACGCGAATCCGTGGCCCCGCGTCGCGCGCGTTCCGCTTCTCGAGCCGATTCGAAGATTTGAGGCTTCCACGGTGACGCCGTTCTTGTAATAACGTTTCTCTATAGCCTCCTCAGGGTCGTTTCGACTACCTCTCACCGTTGCCGGTATCTGCAGTGAAAGAGAGATCGACTCATCCTCCCCTTTCTCACTCTCGTTCTCCGGAGAGAGTTTTCCTGAAATTTAGACGCTGTTGTGCATATCTCGCGCTTCAGATCTCGATTTCATTCTAATTAACGAGGCGCTGGTTTTTGTGCGTTGTATTTACATACAATGAAGAGCATAACTGTACGAATGACAATGAAGAATTTTCGAGAATTTAAACTGATATAATTTTGTAAAAAAAAAATATATATATATATATATATATACATATAAAGTATTGTATGTTAATAATGTAATATAACTCAATATGATATACACGTGGTATAAATATATAAATTTATATATGCAAATGTTTCCCAGTACATTTCATATTTATTTTAAAGTATATATCTCAAGTTTAATAAATAGTTATAGTTGTATATTTGTATAATAATACATTTGTTCATGTATTAATATTTTTTTTCATACAGTAATTATATCCATAACTGGATTCTTCTAAATTTATGTATTTATTTATTTACTAACAGACGAGATGAACTCGTTGGTAGACACTGCAACATGCAAGTACTCATTGGGAAATAAATCACAGCGTTAGTGAACGGTGGCAGAGACCGATGGTTCAAAAATGGATGGAAACGGGCCATGGAAACTCAACGAGAAATTCGATCAAGGAAAAACGAAGACGGGCAGCAGGGCGCGAGGTGGAAATTCCGCAGGATAAAAAGTCGAGAATATCTAAAGGGAATCTGGCTAGGATTCCTTGGCAGTGGCTGGCTTAGTTGGGTCGCGGCCAAACGATGACGAATACCCGCGAACCCGCCGGGTAAACACACCGCTCGCAAATCGAGCGTTTCGCGAACGAAAGAAAAGAACGAACGAAGAGCGCAAAGCCGACGAGAAATCGCTCCCCTCGAACTGACACTCCACCACTCATGGAAAAAACGAGCTTTCTCGAACAACCTCCCTGAAAGTCTCGAGAGTCGACGCAGAATCGATCACCCCAGCAGGATAATAAACCTAATTTTCAACCTTGCTAACAATTCTCGATTTATCTTTAAGAAAGATAAGACAACTGTCAAAAGAATACAGGATTTTAACGCATATTCCATATTTCGAAAAATTCATTTCACTCATTTTACAATGGATTCGTCTGGACTCGACATCCATCGTCCGATGATTAATCGACGAATTGGTTTTAGAATTTCTATCCTATTTTTTGTCCTATTTGGAATTCAGATTTTCTCCCTCCGTTTTTTTTTAAATATTTTTTTGTTAGTTTTATTTTCTAACATTTTCTGTACAAATTACATACACGCGCAAGTAATTACTGCATTGCTGGTCAATATAAAAATTGAAACTGGTTTCGTGCTTTTCCTCGCCATGCTTCGTATCTCGAGCCCTACAGTTCAGTAATTTCACCGTTTTGACCTATGAATAAATTAGAGTTAGAGCACGTAAGCAGATTGCTGATTTCGTTTCGTTGTCGTTTAATTATGTCTATCCTGGCTGATAGACGAAAATCAAAAGAAGAGTAATCGTAATTTGAACTTGGAACGCACTTCGAGAGATGTACGATGTTATTTCGTCGCGGTGATAAATAAATTTCAACTCTGACTCAGATGCTTAACGCCTTGACGTTAAGACTTTCCACTTGACGACTTCTCCGTCCACCCTATAAATATCTTATTTCGAGCTTTTTCCTCTTACCCGTACGTCGAAATTATTATATAAACTACGCGCGTCAGGTGTAGTGTCGTCCACGGTAAAAGAGATAATATCCGAATGCCCGCGGAATCGTCGCCGTCATTTTGCCAACGGGACGAAACTATGCCAAGCGGTTTTCACCCGGCGCGATGGTCGAGAGCAAAGTGTTTCGAGCGTTTCAGAAACTGGCTTTCAAAGCTTCGCGAAAGTCGCCGCTGAGAAATGCCAAATAATTAGCTGGCCTGGTTCGTTTAAATAATTCTCGCTCGTACGCGCGCCACACACGTCCTTACGTGTTCT